ATGAGATATTTTGTCCAAAGAAACGATTTAAAAAAAAAAAACATATATATGCATATAAAAAAATTAATTTTTAATTTTATAATAAATTTTTTGTTACAAAATAAATTTATATTTTTAGGTAATTTTTTTTTCATGATATATTGTTTTCCAGACAATATAATTGTGTATACACTAGAAATGTATGTTCGAGGTTTATATTTATTCTTTAAAATATTTTTTCAAATAAATGAAATTTTGACAAATTTTATGATAAGTTTTTGCAAAGACCCAATATTTTATATTAACGAAAAAAAATTAGAAGTGTTTACTTTTGTATAAAATATTCCTTACAAAAATATTTTACTAGTTTTTTTTTCTGCTCCGAAAATAACAAAATATTCATATGTATTGTACATTTTTTAAAATTGCATTTATGTAAAAAATCTTTTTTAGAAATTTATAACATTTTTTTTGTTAATTTGAAAAATAAATAATGGAAAAAATGAAAAAAAAAACGGTTTCGTAAGAGCTTTTTAGGGTCTTTGAGTTTTAGACTAAAAAAACTAAAAAAAAAGCAGAAGATTTACTTGTATATATACTCCTTAGCTAACTGCTTTTTAGACATGTAAATATGACTCGAAAAGGTATATATTCAAGTAAGTATGTATATATATTATATATCAACGCATTTGAAGCGAAATTAAGTCTCCTAAGTATTCTTAGTGTCGTACTTCTGTTATCTCGATTTATCAGCTTTTGCACTTAACTGTTGACAAGTCGGCGCTTAAGTCAGACAGTTGTACTTGTATATAAGTATGTTTATGTGTTAAATATATTACTGTCTATGTATATGTATTGTTACACACAGAGTCACACAACTATTTTTGCATTATAACCCTCAATTGTTACAGTCGTGCTTAAAAGTGCACATACTAACAAACTTTATAAGAATCAGCTCACATCCCTATGCATGTATGTGTGTTAGTTTATGTAGACTGTTGTAAAGTTTTGAAATATTCGACATTGTTGTTGCCTTTAAGTAGTTTTATTGGTAGACTCCGTATACTTTAAGGGCGACATGTGTAAAACATGCTAAACAACAACAACTACTTGACTGTACAACAAAACTACTGATAACAATGAAAACGCATTTTAAAACCTGACAAAAGCTAACAACAATAACAGTAGAAATATTGAGTATCTATATATTGTTTAAATTAGAAAGTATGAAAGAAAAAAAGTAAAAAACAATAAAACAGGGGATGAAGCGAAAGAAGTAAAATTGTGGCTTAAAATCAAAGAATAAACTGAATTAAAGAAAAATCACTTTAAGAAGAAGCAGTATTTGAATAAACTCAAATCTGACCAGTATGTATTGTAAATATAGAGATTTGTTACTCTGCGTTTCATGCCAACATGTTTATCATCATGACAGGACAGTAACGGTACTTCGGAGAAAAAATTATAAACAGAAATCTTTAAGATTACGTTTGATTGAAACTTGGACTCTATGTAGCACAAGAATATCGCGTATTAAATTCCAAGTTTTATGAAATTTGTCCCAGACTCTAGACAAGTCATATTCCTTAGTTAAATCAGGGACTACATATGGTAACGGACATCTCAAAGTAGAGAGAAACAAAAAAAAAGTAATTAGGTATAGGTGATAGACTTGATGTCACTTCTCCACCCGCTAATATATTTTCTTTAAGTTCTGCAGGATTGGCTTGGTGCAAAACCGCATCTTCAAGATTAAGAAGTAGAAAGTACGAAAAATTATATACTCTTCACATTTATCATGTCTCTAGGTGAGGGGGTAAGTCTCATCATTCATAGATTATTAAGATACGTCTAAAAATTCTCTGAGCCTTAACATGGATTGCCATATACTTCTTAACTTTTATTGTCCAATTTGTGAAAATAAATATATATTGTATTCTATGGTTCCGGGCGAGCGCAAAATAAAGAAGCTTCAGATTGGTGGACGCCTGGAATTTTATCAGGCCCCATTTCTTACCATTTAGCCATGTTTTCAAGATTTCAACAGAAATAGATATATACACACTGATATTTCCATAGCTTGCTGGATAATCTTTTTATTTACGAAAAATGCCCTCATTTTTGCTTCAAATAGAATAAACCGTTCAAGTGTACTATGGACCGTTTTCGGATGATAAATCCTCATCTATAACTATTTCTTGATATGCGATGATTTATGAGGGATTTAAATTTCGTCCACACAGTTATAATACTTGGTGTTAAAGAACAGATTGAGACCGAATCATTAAACTGAGTTGAAGGTTTAGTAGCCCATAGTTAAGGTTTTGTAGCCCAAGTGGCCCGTTCTATTTAACCAATAGCCTCTGAGACTTTTATACACGATATTCATATGGAAATGTATGTATTGTATAATTGAAGGGAATTTCGCTAAACTTCAACGTTTAACTTTTGCTCTTTGTGACTTCTGCATAATTTGAGACTGCGAGTATTTTTTAGCTGATACTTCAGATTTTAGGAGCTCTTGAAATCGCTTTGTCTTTCTACTAACAACTTTGCTATATTATGGATTTGGAGCAGCTTTCATATATATTGGTATTGTTTGGCGAACAGATGGCTCTATGATTTTTGAAGTATATGGGAAGTTCATAAGAAGATTTTTTCTGACAGGAAAAAAGACCTTTCCGTTAAAGGCTGTCCGAAATAAGACTTGACCTCTTAGAAAATACTTTCTGGCTGACATTATACTTAGACACGTTCGCGAAACGAACCCGGACTTAGAGTGTGAGTTTGTCTCAAAGTAATAGATCAAACTAAGCTTGAAAAAAATATAATATATCAAGCAATAGATCGTCATTACTAAAAATTGACTTACTGTTAGAAAAACAACTAAGAGTGTTGAAAAAAAATTCTGGCTCTCACGATACTCGATCAAGGACTGCCTGTCTGAGCAACAATCACTACGTTATTTCAAAAATTTGACAACAATGACAGATTTTGGAGTTTAGACGGTCCATTTCCATTACCTATGTATGAAGTGACACTCATTTGCCTGGCAAAAAAAACTAGCAAAATATCGCTTAAAGTATTGAAAATTTAAACCAGTAGCAATAATAAAAGCAACAACCACTTATTTACACCTCTAGTCAACTATTTAGACGCAAGAGACCTGCAATCAGTTACATGGCAAACTTTTTTCCACCCCTCAGTAGCATGAACTATGTACAATATATAACAAAAACAACAATAACAGCTATAGAAACAAAAAACTGAAAAAATAGCGGCAGAACTTGAAAAAGTCTTACAAATATATGTGCAGTAGGCAGCGCCTAGACATGGCGCACCCGAGCGTATACGTAACATTGTAAAAAACAACATCTAAGTCGGATAATAGATGGCGAACTGACGGTTAAAGCAAAAAAAAAAGACGAAGAGTGCATAACTTTATTGCGCTTGCACCGCACTATATACAGATGCATATACATATATACTAAATATGTATTTTTGTATGTTTGTATATGTGTGTCCGTGTTTTCTTGTATAGCAACTCCATTGCAACACGCCATGACAGCTGTACGCCTCTAAGCGTTGATGATGCTGGGGATTTAGCTGTAACTTGGCCGAAGTATGTTGAGAACAGCAAAAACAACAATAAGTACGGTTATGTGGCTGTATTGGCCGGCAGCCGTTTAAGCGTGAGAGTTCACTCTTAACCGGGTTGTTAGGGCAACAAGTTGTTGAACTCATCTCACTTGCTTGCTGATATATGTATGCATGTATGCAGCGGCATGGATAACCAAGGTAATGGAGGTGTTGAGTAAATATTTACGAATGTATTAGAATGTTAATGGATTGAAAGGCAGATGAGTGAAGGTTAAGCAAATTGTTATGCGAGGTGTGGTCTCAGCGATTGAGTTTGCTCATCAAAATTGTATGGCGAGAATATGTTCTAAAGTGAGTAGAAAATAAAAGAATTAAATTATTGCTTGAAAAAATTTTGAACTATAAATGGGCTATGCGCCTAAAAATATGCACTTATATGCAGTAATATCGTTTATTTTATATTTTAATGTTTGGACACAGAGTCTATAGTATAGGGAACAAATGGAAAGAAAGAAGAGTAGGGTTTGATCTCCTCATAGGCTTCTTTTACTTACTTATGGACATTTTTTTAAATCTCTAACAAGGAATACCTTCCGCAGTGGACGTGGAACTTTATAGAGTCGACAAAGCAGCTTGAGACCGATACAAATCTGCTTAGGCGTTTTATTTCCATTCCCACCAGCTCAGTGGAATATCCGAAAGTGTGAGCTAAGCCTTATTTTCGCAAAGGCGGGACATTCAAGAAGAATATGTGGACATTTTTTTACCTCGTCTTCTTCCAAACAGCTGCTACAACTGGCATCCGGTAAGATTCTCAACCTTACTGAAGGCGAAGAGCTGACTATACCTATTGGGATTTACTTTGGGTCGTTCTTAGCTCATCTGTCGTTGTAACTTAGAAGTCTTAACTCACTGCGTCACATCCGTCCATCGAACTCTGCTCTTTAAGGATTTGGCTGATGATTTGAGTAAACTCTACCGAAATCAATTAATTGCAAGTTCTATCGAGATCTGAGCAAGATCCGAATTTGTTACAAACTTCGAATGAAATCTGTGGGTTCGTTGCAGTAAAATACATCTTTAGCGATTTCTACTTATAACTAAACTACTTTCGGGATTGTAACGAGGTTTTATCGTTTTGAGTCCTTTAACGAATGTTTGCTCCGTAGTAGGTGCTCATTTCAAAGACTGGGAATTTGCCAGTGTAAAATTCAGCTTTAGAAGAAAAAGTATTCTTCAGTTGACGATAAAACCCGAAACAAACTCATTTAGTAGCAGAGATTAAAATCTTAATTGAAACCACTACAAAAAGCGAAACCACAATTTAAGTAGATGTCCTTTTACTAAACATACCTAATTTAATATTCGCAGCACTTTATTCAATCACCGATCACTTTCTTTTCTTTATTTGCTCATTGCAGCTTGATGCATCCCCCAATAGAAGCGCATAAAAGCGAAAACCACGCCAACCTAAAAAAGAACAAGTCAAATTAAATAAAGCAAGCGAAACAAAGGAGGATTACGCCGCGAAATTGAACAAAATTAAATATTTTCTGCAAGCTTTGATGCACAAAGAACAAAACTAAAAGAGTAAATAAAAAAAATAAAAGCCAATACAACAAGAAAAGTCAATCAATATGTGAAAAAACCCGCAATTTGAATAAGCAACAAAAGAAGTAAGAAAAAGCACACAGCAAATACAATAACGAGTGAAAATGAGGTGGTAAGTACAAAAGAAGATTTCCGGGAATTCAGCCAACCAAACGTAGAAATAATTAAAATTAGCGGAAGCAAAGGAACAAGAGCACAAGCAAACAAAGTGAAAATTTTAAGTTAAAGCTGATGGATTTAATAAAAATAAAAATTATTGAGGTAATATGTTGTGAAGAGCGTGAGTCAATAAGAGAACCAGCCACATCTATGTGTGCGGCATCCCTGGGTGAAGTAACTTTAGCTAAACTGCCAGGTTGAGCTTCAGGGAACTGTTTTAATTGCAGTCCTGTATATACAAGTACGACCTCCCTGAACCAAGTATCTTTAGCTGAACTAGCAAGTAGAGCTTCAGAGTTTATTAATAGGCATGTCCATATATACGGCATCCCTGGATGAAGTAACTTTAGCTGAACTGTCAGGTTGAGCTTAAGGGAACCGTTCTAAATGCAGCCATAAATATTAGCTCTCCCTGTACCAAGTAACTCAATTCCAACTGCTGCCAAGACTTCGGAGAACTGTTTTAGTTAAATCACGAAAGTATTCGGATTATACCAACCTAAGTCGTATCATAACTAGCAGACAGCATGTTCATAGATATTGCCAAAGAAGGAGTGATCGCCCGTGTACAGATCAAATAACTTCCGCATAGGGGGTTCGAAGAGGTCGTGGGCTTAGTTTGACATTAGAACCAATACTTTCCCTCAAGTTTAATACTCCGTAAAGAGGTATGAGTTATATTAGCTTAACATGAGTATCAGAAACTAAGATAAACCACACTTGAAAACTTCGGCTACAATAAAGTGTATATGTAATATATGTACATACTTTCTGATCACGAGTCGATGAGCCGAAAGCTCTGGGACTTTCAAAGTTCTAGGGCTTTCCATAAATTCTTTCCTGGGGGACACTTAACATTCAAGTGGATGATATGTATACCTAACAGTTTTGGAGATTTCCTTGCTTTTTGATCAATACTGAGAAGCTAAGCTTGGATTGATTACTCAATCAGCCTGCCATATATAGCGAAAATTGATTCCAGGTGTCAGAAAGTACATACAAATTTAAACATTGAACTTAAAACATAACGAACCCAAAAATTACAATGCAGAAAGTGTATCAGTGAAACTCTTGGTGGACTTATAAAAAGTTATATTAAGTATTGTGAAGATAAATCTATTCGTTTTGATTGGATTCGGTCGATGCCAATGTGCAAGAAGATGGATATAATTGACTCAATTTAGCTGCTATTTGAAACGCCTTTGGGTACATATTATATTTCCTTAACTAGAAATATACAATGTGTTATACAAAACAATATTTAGATATTCAAACTTAAGTATTAAGCGCTTTAAATTGCACTAGTCTGCCTATACGCTGTAATTCTCAACAGTATTATGAAAAAAAAATATTTGTTAAATATAAAGAGTTTAGATTTATTTAATGTTCTAAAGATTAATGGTTGATATTTTATGCTAGACAAACTAGCACGCAAAACAAAAATGTTATAAACTTATTCGCAGGTTTACCATAAATATTTGATTTAAAGTGGCCTGTTACTAGTTCGCTCATTGCAATAAGAAAATCATTCGTATGTTAATCAGTAAAAGCACCTCAAAGTACACATGGCTGACTTTCGATTGTCACATATCGACGCTAAAATTCGATCTCACTTAGATTGAACAGCTTCAAACACTTCAGAGAATCAGAAATTCGTTATTGTTTTTACTTAATTGTGAGCTCGCGTGGCATCCACTTTGCACAAAGCTTTCGCATACCCAAACACTCATACACATTATATTCCTTTGATATCTTTAGAGTCTCAGCTAACTCGAGCAACTTCATTTTGCGGTCATTCAAAAAAAGTTTGTGGACTTGTTTCATGTTTTCGTCGGTAACCACCTCTTTGGGGCCTCCACGGCGTCGTTTTTGGGAATTAAAAAAAAATACTACTTCGATTGTTTTGAAATTTTTGGGTATATTTATATAAAAAAAAAATAAAAATTAATATTCTTTGAGTTATATGAGATCTCCGAAGGCGCTAAAAAATGGTTCATCACTGCTGCAGTGATTATTGTCTTCTCCGTAGATGTAACCTAAAAATAATATATTCTCGTTACACAAAAAGATATTCACCGTACAAATCAAATCCGGTAATAAAAAAAAACAAATGGTGACGTTGTAAAAAAAAGGCAAAAGGTTGCAATTTACCCCAATTTTTCGTCGTTTTCGGAATGCCAAAATTAGATTTTTATCTATACCTATATCATTGTATTTATGTCGAGTTATATACAGAACAGGCAGACAAAATTTAATGATGATCGGAATATAGTATAGGTCCAATATGAGTCGTCTTTCGCAGTATTCTAAGGAAGTTTTAGAGATGCAATCAAAATTTCATAATTTTATTATGCACTGAAAAAAGTTTAAAAAAATTATGGAACTCTTTCAGCTTAACAAAATACAAGTCTTTGCGTAAACAAATTGTATAGGGCTGTGGACAGGCCGCTGAAATGCAGCAAAAAAGCCAAGATAACAACGAAAACACACTAAGAAAAATACAAAAGCGAATGAGGTGAAGTGGAAGTAAAATTTGGAAAAATTTAAAAACACAAATAAAAAAAAATATCTTTTTACATTTAAATTGAAATTATTTTTACCTTTTAAATTTTTTTTTCAATAGCAGCCAAAGCCAAATAAACACGCATTGAATAGAACAACATAGCATAATCAAAAAAATATTTCCAATGATAAAAAAAAGCTAGAAAAATTGGCTGCGCGTAAAATTTAGAAACGTGTCAGTGCAAATTTCATCAGTATTTGACAACAACAACCAAATCAGCGTTTGCACAATGAAGTGAATTTTCACTAGACACGCGCAAAATAAAAAAAAAAATAACAACAAAACAGCAGCAATTCGGCTGCGGACGAGAAAGTGAAAGCAAAACACGCAAAATCAACCAACACACAATACAAATAACGGACGAAAAAAAACGCAAACTCAATGAACGAGAAATTATCACTGCCAACAGCCACACCCATTGAACAGCTGCAGCAACAGCAACAACAACTGCAACAGCATACCAGCACTTGTGCGACCATTGACCAGACGGATTATCGCTACGAATCAACGCTGCCAGCAGTAGCAGTGGCAACAACAACAACAAAAAACACAACAACATACCCACATGACAGCAGCAGCAGCAGCAATAACGCCACAGCGAGTGGCATTGATGTGGGCTGCGTGGAAAATGGCGCTGGTGGCGGTGCTGGCAGCGAATTGTATCGCTACGCATCGGTAGCAAGTTTAGGCGGCGCTTCGACAATGCTCGCCGTCGATGCTTATATGGTGGGCGGGGGTGTGGGTGCAGGTGTGTCCGCCCAGCCCACGCCACTTGCTGCGTCTGCTGCGACAATTCTGAAAATTAGCCACACGGGCAGCGTCAGCGGTGGCGGCAGCAAAGGTAGCAATGTGAACAGTCCGCACAAGCAGCAGTTGGGTGCACCGCAGCGCGACAACGTTTGCGGTTGCTTCAGCAGTGGTCGCAACAGTGGTGGTGCGGGTGGTGAGGATGCTAGTGGCGATAAGCAGCAATTGCCCGCGTTGACTTTTTGGCCCGCATTGTTTGCCAATTTGGGTATTTGCACGCTGCTGCTCGGCTATCTATTCATTGGTGAGTACACAGTTCGTGTTTATTACTGTTTTTGCCATCGATTTTTTTTTCGTTGCTCATTTTTTTTGGGTATTTGTGTTGTTGGCTTTTGTGCGCTGCTTTTATTTAGAAATTTTCGTTCCATAAATCAATGGATTTGGCGTGCATATCTCGTAGAAAGTTTTGGTGGCAGGCGAATGAATGGCATATGGTAGGAATTTAAAAGCGGAAATTTGGTAATTTAATTAATTCTTTATTTTCTACGTTGAAATAAAGAGAGCGAGGCTAATAAGATATGGTAGACGAAATTTTACTTTTTATTTACAAAATATTTTAAACAACTTTTTATATAAAAATTTTAATTACAAATAATTAAAAAAAAATTTTTATTTTAAAGAAATATCCGAATTTTTATTTTGAAATAAAAAAACATTGAAGCACTCAAAATATTTAAAATAAAAATAAATTTAAAAAACAATAAAATATATTAATAACGCTTATTTTTAATTACATTTTTTTTTAATTTAATAAAATTCAATATAAATGTGCTGAAATAAAAAATTTAATAATATTTCATTTAAGTTAAACATTTTTGTTTAAAAATAATTCGAATTTTTACTTTGATATTAGAAATTGTAAGCCGACAGAAATAATTAATTTCAGAAATTTAAAATTATTGTATTAAAAAAAAGAGTAAAATGTGATTAAAAAAATATTTGAATTTTTATTTTAAAATTAAAAAAAAAATATTGTTTATAAAAAAATTTAAAATTTCAAAAAAAAATTTCTTTAATATTGTACAAGAAATTAAAACATAACCAAACTTATATAAGAGATGACTAAAGTAAATTTAAGGAAAAAATATATTTCTGTAAGAAGTTCTGATTTTTAATTTGAAATTTAAAATCACATGTATCGAAAAAATTCAAGAATTTTAAATGATGTTATTTCAGCTTAGAAATTCTTATTTCACAAAAATATTATTGAAATAAAAAAAGAAAATGAACTTAGCAGAATTTAAAATATCGAATTAATATTTTTCTATTACTAAATATTATATGCTCTCATATTTTATTAAATAGCCACCAAACCAAATTTATATAAAAATTTCCTAAAATACATTTAAGCAAAATTTTAGTAGAAAGTTTTCTTTAGATTTAATATAAAAATTGAAAAAAAATTAAAAAAAAGAATGTTAGAACGATTTTAAAAATGAAAAAAAAAAAAATTAAAACAAAAAACAAATTTATTTAAATAAAAAAATTAAAATTTTGAAGTTTAAAGTTTAAAAATTTACACAAATCGAATGCTATATGTCATAAGCAGAAAAAATTAATCAGAAATTTAAAATTTTCAATTTGAATATGAAAAAGAAACGGATTTTTTTAGAAATCAGGTATAAAAAAATAATTCGAACAGAGTTGAAATATAGATACAAAATATGCATACGGAATTAAACTAAATAATGTTTCTAATGAAAAACCATGTATGAGTTCGGACAATTTTTTTAAAAATAATTTCAAGTTGAAATTTAAATCATAAAGAAATAAAATTTAAATTTTAAAGTTTACGAGATAATATTAGGAAAACCTTCACACATATGGTGAGTACTGGAAACTTTTGGTAAATTTTGAAAAAAAATTTGGAAAAAAATTAAATTTGAATGAAGCAGTTTTGAAAATGAGTTATAAAAAACTCAAATAAAATTTAAAATTCCAAAAAAAAAAATAGGGTTAGGGTGAGAGATAATAAAGTTTTAATTAATTTTTTTTGACTTATGTAAGTGCTTTTTCGTTTAAGAATTAAAATATATATAAAAATATTAAATTTTTTTTTTTAGATTTTGCAGTACAAGATATTCATAAAATTTATTTTATTTAATACAATTTTCATTCAAGACCAAAAATATGTATACATGTATGTATGTATATAATATATGTTTTTTTAATTTCTAAATTTGTTTTTCGAGAATATAAAACAAAAAACAATTGTATTCCTAAACTAAGGGGAGTTGCACAAAATTGTAAAAGACTTTCAACTTTTTTTTATTGATTTTAAGGTTATCACATATGTACGTATGTATATTAATAAAAAAGCTAATAATTTAAAAACTATCCAATTTCGATCACACTAATTCACCACGGCCGAAAACTCAATTACATTTCCCTTTGACACAGGCTCATTTCTATTCCTCACCATCGAAACTTCCGGCGATGGTGGCAGCGCAGCGGGCGTTGTCAGTGATCCAAATGCCTGGTCATACACGCAAAATGCAGACATATCGACACAAAAGCAACGACAACAACAAAACCAGCATACACCGCAAGCCAGTTTCACTGGAACACAGTCAAAGTTATACAAATCCAGTGAACCATTATTCGATGTGGCAACCGCAACAGGCGGAGCGCGCTTGCAAGAAACTGATACTGCTGCTGCTGCAACTGATGGCGGCCAACCACACGAAAGCAGCATAACGAGCATGAGCAGTGGCAAGTTCCACGTGAACACGCCGAATACAATGTGGCATGCAACAGCGGCGGTGATGGTGGCGAACGCTACGATGGTAGCAGCAGCAGCAGCAGCCGTTGCAACAGACACTGCACACTTTGATGTGATTGCAAGAGCGGAAAAGGAAACATACACTGACAGCAGGCATGCCACCAACAAGTTGCGGCCACCGCCTAACAGCATGTTGCTACAACAGCCGAACGACATGGCAGCAGCTAAAGCTACATATGCAACGCTGCGTCAAGCTATGGCTGTGGAGGCGCATCGTGCCTATCGTGCTACTAATGCCATTGATGCTGTCATTGGCAATGACTTTAATGCGGCTGTCAGTGATGTCGATGTGGGGTTGCATAGTGGAGATGACGATGAGGATCAGATGGCTGACATGGCGGCGGAGAATGGTGACGCATGGAGTGGGGAAAATGTGGCGTTGCAGCGTACTGTGGAGAATATTTGGGATATAACGGTTTCATTGAATATACTCTACAAAGAAAATTGGACCAAGTGAGTAATTATGTTTAATGTTACTTACAGCATATATACCGTTGCGTTGCGAGTTGTGAAACAGTTTATAGTGCATGCAAATAGTTTGTCGACGAAAAGTTTGGGCAGAAAAAATTCAAAGAGTGCTGAGACAGTTGTGATAAAAGCTTTATTGCTAAGGACAGGTACTATGCTAGAGATTATCAAAGAAACTAGCACGATATTCAAGGTTATTAGATCCTACTGAATCTGGTTGTAAATAAGTTTGTATAAAATGAGGACTTTGCAGCTGGAACGTCGATACCGGCTGCGCCTGAAATTCTGATTTTGCAAGGGGTGAGAAAACTTCAGCGGATAGTTCCCTTTGCAAAGAAATATGAGATCAATATAGAAGGGATTCATTTAGAATGAGGTTGGTAGTCTTTTTTGCTTCCTCGAGCAGCTCGAAGTACTTTGGTATATAGAAGTTGGTTAAGGTAACGTCTGATTACTAATATGAAACTTCATAGTTTGGGGTTCATCGACGAGGTCTTCAAATTACAGTTCGATACTTTTTGGTTAGGGATGGGACAAGTTCAGAGGGTACGAGATCAGTTCAGAAAGTATTCAGTTAGGATGAATTGATGTTGGTAGTCCTGTTCGTTTCATCCGGCAGGTAAATGGATTTTGAAGCACAGAAATTTTGTGGTCCGACATCCTCGTCTGCAGACAGTTATCGATTTATAGTTCGATGCAGAAGACTGATCCCAACCTTCATAGTCTAAGGTTCATAGACTGTGGACTGATACGAAGCTCAACATTTAGACGACTGCTGACGAAATTGTCCATTTGCTTTTCGATATCGAGCGTCTTGGTTATTTTTGTTAGATACTGAATTAGATGACTCAGTTTGTTGAAGTTTTTATTGTGCATAGAAGAGCCTTTGGCAAGATTCTCCAGTAAAGCTGGTACCATAAAAACCAACGAAGCTGTCATTTGGTAAGATCTATCAACGAAGTAGAGTCTCGGTAGTGAAACTGATTCTTTTTTTTAAGAATTGGGGATTAAAATAAATAAACTGATAAATGAACCATGATAATTACAGGCTTTTTTTCTTGTCAAATATTTTTATTCTCAGGCAAGATAACTTCTTATTCTTACAGCTTCAAGTATTTGAACTTATCGGAACACCGAACCTTTCGTAATATGATTCTAACTATTCGGATATGTTTCTTCAGTATTCTTTCATCTAGATAATCAGATGAAACCCTGCCTCTTAGTGCGCATATTTTTTGTAGGCACTATAAATCTTTTGCATGCATACCGAGCTTCTTAAATTTCCTGGAAATTAGTGCGTATTGTTTTTGCGGCTGCCCCATGTGGTGCAGCGAATGCCAGGAAACCTAAGCAGTGCAGTGATTGTCTCCCGTGAACGTTATTTGATTGTGTTTGGCATTTGATTGAGGAATGTATATGCTCTTACATACATACTATATACCTGCAATATACTTACGGAACATTATTAGATTTGAAGTTAGATTTGAGTACATATTGTATGCACAACAATTCCACTTTGATGATTTCTATGCCATTTCGGGAATTCAAAACAGTAATGTAGTTGATTTAACTGTTATTAAGTAACGGAACGCATGGCTTGACAATAGAAGCTCCCATTGTATTTAAGAAATTAATTGGAATATTTACTATCACCTTCTAAGAACTACACTGCTTCCAACTTGTGCAATGTACACTGATTATAGAATCATTAGGAATATCTATGATTACAGCATCATATTCGACCTTCACCATTATAACAAGCTTCTTACGAAAAACTTAATTCGTAAGCCATATATACCTATACTTACAAGTATATGTCATAATGAGCTTCAATTTCAAAATAATAAGTCAGCTTTCTACTCCAAAATTCTATGCTTAGATAGTATGATATGCCTATTAGGATAAAGTTCGCTGGTTCGCCATTGGTTCAGCACCAGAAAAAGGCAACGTGCTTTAGATTTGCACAATTGGAACTCTGGCTTTGGTTCCAAAGTTTTTTTTAGATAAATTCATCAGAAAGTCAGCTAGTTCTATTCTCTAATTCGAGTTTCAATCATAAGAGATACTCTGCTTTCAACCTATGTACAACCTTGAGAATCGTTTGTCCGGAAACTGCTGATCGTGAACGTTGTTCTCTGAAAAAAATACTCCTAAAGCTTTGTTCGTTATGCCTCTATATATTAGGTAAAGTAAAAAGTTCGTTCGGTTTTTTATTGATTTTTCAAAAGATGATAACTTTGTGCACATTTGTCCGATTTAAGTCAAATATGCGCCGTTTTGTGCCAACGAGATGCCAACTTCATTATACCCCTCTCGTAGAAGACTGCGTTCCTATTGCCAATTTTCACAGGCCTCTCTTGAGGCCAACTTCTCACCATTAAGCGCGTTTGCAATGGACAGGAAAGGATGGTAATCACTTGGTGCCAAGTCCGGACTTTAAGGTGGGTGCATTAGAACCTCCCATCCGAGCTCCAGGAGCTTCTGGCGAGTCACCAAAGACGTGAATGGCCTGGCGTTGTCCTGATGGAACGCAATTCAGCCTTTGTTGATCAAAGATGGCCTCTTCTGGATGAGTGCAGCCTTCAAGCGGTCCAGTTGTTGGCAGTAGATGGCCGAATTGAGCGTTTGGCCATAGGGGAGCAGCTCGCAGTAGATGATTCCTTTCCCATCCCACCAAACACACAGCAAAACCTTCCTGGGCGTCAATCAGGTCTTGGCCACCATCTGGTCCTCTTCCCCGAGCTTTGACCACGACCGTTTGCGCTCGATGTTGTCATAAGTGACCCATTTTTCATCGCCAGTCACAATCCGCTTCAGACACGGGTCGATTTTGTTGCGATTCTGCAGCGATTTGCAGATGGAAATTCGGTCCATCATGTTTTTTGCGTTTGTTCGTGTGACACCCAAACATCGAGCTCCTTTTTGAATCCAAGGTTATGCAAATGGTTCCAAACGGTTTTCTGGCTTATCTTTAGTTCCTCAGCAATTAAATAAGTGATCACGTGACGGTCTGTTTCCACTATTTCCATGATTTTATCGCATTTTCGACGACAGGCCTCCCGACGCGTGGTGCATCTTTGACATCGAAATTACCGGAACGGAACCTAGCAAATCACTTTTGTGCTACACGTTCGTTTACAGTATCGGGCCTTTTTCGCTTTGATCGAAGAAAAATTGTAAAATATAGCGAATTTTCTCTTGGACAATCTCTTAGATAAAAACCGAACGAACTTTTTAACTTAATATTATTGTAGAATCCCCTGTAATCTTCCTTGAATAGTCTAGCCTCGCAGATTCAGCTTCATCGCTTCAGCTCGGGTTGGATTAAATTTCTAAAATATTTAGTAGAAAATGTACTTATCATTGGAAATCAAAACATCACTGTCTGTTATGGTAATGAGTTCGAAATTCTCTAAGCTTCATCTATTCACTATTGTACTGAAACGATAGATGTCTAAAATACGTAAAAATACTAGCTGGGTATGGGACTGACCGATAAACAGATCCAAACCTAATAGCAGAATTTTTGTCCGACAGTGATCTCTTTTGAAATCCTCAATCTTTTAGAGGTGGATCGGAATTTGACGGCAGAGGCCTTTCTGTTCACGGGTGTACATGGGTATCACCGCAATAAAAGATCGCTCAATCTTTTGTGCATGAAATTTAGAAGATTGTTTTCATATTTCTAGGCCGAGTCAGAAGAGGAAGCTCTTGACATATTAGAAACTCTATAAGTTTCACACACTTTGTGTTTTTGACTTCTACAAATAATCTTATGTTATATTTTTTAATGATATTTGCAAATTTCGAGTGCAGAAAGCTCTAAGAGGCTAAGTGTTCATCGAGCGTGGTCATATATATACAACTATGAGTTTCACATTGCTTATGTGTAAATATTGCAACACTTGTAAGCTATCAAATGCACTTAACTACTTCTGTAATTCAATAAAATTCTTCGCAAAACCCGCAAGCACTTGACCCTAATTGCATTTTCGTCTTATCAAATGTAATTAAATTGAATTTAATGCGATTAAACTAAATGTTCTTCACTTTTATCACACCATAAGCTTTACACTACCATTCTTTTCTTACATTTGTCTCTCTCATCTCTCTCCTATCCGCATACAGATTGGCTGCCTTGGAGATTAATAAATTTCAGGATCAATTAGTCAAAAGGCTTGTCATGGATTTGACGCTATCAACAGCTGGTGGCGGTGGTGGTGGTGCAGAGGGTGTTATAGCACCTGCAACAACTACAACAATGATGCATGATGCACAATCTAGGCAAACGCAACAACAGCAACAGCCTTTCGATTATCACAGCATGGAACCGGCTACAAGTAAACATTATGGCAATGATGCACTTCAACAACAAAAGGAGCAACAACAACAGCAACAACGTGAACGTTATTGGCAATTACAAGCGGCCCGACAGCGTCAATGGCAATTACAACAGCAGCAACAACAATTTGAATGGAATTTCGCCACATCGTTTCTATATTCACTGACCGTAGTGACGACAGTGGGTAAGTTATAATGGAAAATTTGATATAGAAATATTAGAAATTTTAAAAATATTTAAACAATTTGAATTTAAAATATTATTTAGTGATAAATATAATTAAAAAACGCAAGAAGTGGGCTTACAACCAGACATTTGAATATGAGAGCAGTCTTTTTCATAACGATTCTTGAACGAATTGCCTTAAGCTTTAAAGTATATAACTTAATTGAACTGGGGATGTAAATTCCAGTGCGAATAGTTGGTCCACAGGTAGACATATTCGGAAATTTAATAATCCCAATTCAATTTCCAAGATTTTTCGAAACACTACACGGTTTTGGACTTATTCCGTCACAATATATTGTATTATTATTATACCCTAAACAGGGTATATTAAGTTTGCCACGAAGTTTTTAATGCCCAGAAGGAAATATCTGAGGCCTCGTAGTATATATACATAAATGGTCTACATGACGAGTTGAGTCGATTTAGCCATGTTCCTCTGTCTGCCCGTCTGTCCGTATAAACGCGCCCGTCTATCTGTATAGTCCCTCAGTTTTTGAGATATCGATTTGAAATTTGGCACACGTCCTTTTCTCCCAAGAAGCTGCTCATTTGTCGAAACCGTATAGCTACCATACAAACTGACTGATCGAAATCAAGTTCTTGTAAGGAATCGTTTGTATTTGTGAACGGTATTATAGCTTCGGTAAAGAAATATAGAATCAGAGCAGAAATAGTGCCAATTCTCCTTTAGTTAAGCACTTGGGATTTTTAGGGCTCAATTTTTGCTAAATTAGATGGCAAGAGAGACCAATTAAATGCGATTTCGACTTTTGACTCGGTTTGAAAGAGTTGATGTTAAGCCAATATTTTTTCGTACCAAGTTCTGAGAACTTTAAAAAAATTATTCGTTCCCGGAAATTCTAAGAGATTAATTATAATTGGTGTATGGAGAAAGAGAGCTATAGTACAGACTGCAAATAAGGTAAGTAAAAAATCTCTTTAGCGAAAAAATTAGTATTTTTAATTGTAATTCAAATACTTCAGTGGCTTTATATAAAAAAATAGTTAGTGATATCAAGTTGGAAGAAGTTCCTTTTTCAGCATTTTTGTCATATAACCATTTCATTATTTTCTCTCATCCAAAGCATAGTCTTGCAGCGTTTTAAAGCTGGTACATATATAAATAGGTATTTTTTGGTTTCTTTTTCCAGGCTACGGCACCATCACACCACGCACTACACTCGGCCGTATGGTGACCATCGTGTATGCCACACTCGGCATACCACTCACACTAGTCTATCTCTCGAGCATCGGCAGCATACTGGCCAAAATGGCGAGCGCCTTTTGTGAGCGGCTACTTTGCTGCTGTTTTTGCCGGACTACCACAAATAAAAGACACACCATCTGCGGTTTTAGTCGACAGCAAGTCGCCGATAAGAAATGTAATCTTAAACTAAAAGAACTGCAAAAGCAGCATCAACAATCGCACACGGGCAGCTCCGCACAACAGACCGCACAGCAGGCCACACAATCCGCACATTTACCCTACTGCTACGTGCGTCCACCGGCCGACGATGCGCTAAGCTACGGCGAACACTCACCACTCTCCGCACACTCACCGGCCACACGCACTAAAGGCGCTCATACGCTGCGCTGGTCACTGGCGCTGCCAGTCGGCTTCTGTGTGCTGCTGCTGGTCGCGTACGTCACGTTCGGCTCGTTGGTCATTGCGCTGCTGGAGCAATGGTCCATCTTCGACGGCGTCTACTTTTGTTTCATGAGTTTGACCACAATCGGTTTTTGTGATCTGCTGCCGGGTGTAAATGTGCGCCCAGCCACTTCCACCTCGACGCTGGTGGTATGGTTCTGCGCGGCGTACATACTGAGTGGTCTGACGCTCACCTCTATGTGTGTGAATATGTTGCATGAGGAGTTTCTGCAGCGCATGCGTGTTGTGGTGAAATTCAAAAAGATGGCCACCGGCAGGAATACGGAGAAGGAGCGCAACTTCTACGGCGCGCCGCCTTGACAATGCGGCGTGAATTGGGAATTCATATTTGCCGTTGATGGCGGCGCTACGGTTTGCGCACCGAAGCGCCGCCAGTTAAGCCTGTGGCATGATGATGTGCTTATACGAGCGGTGACATTTTTGCTGCGGCGTGTTCTGAAGTTGCAGCGGAGTATATAAACAGCAGTAATGAATTTCAAATGGATGAATGTGGGTGTGTATGTGGGTCGCAGGTTGTGTGAGGAAATGTGATTATTTTTCCAGTGGTGAGTATATATTTTGTATTAATTTTTAATGGTTATAAAAGTAAGGCTTTAAATAATTTAGAATTTTGCACTCTGTAGTAGCCTAGAACAATCTGCATTTACAAAGAAGATGAAAATTCCATAAATATGTTAAGTCAGTGCTAAGACAATTAGCTTAATTTAGGTTTTATTACTCATATTGCCATTAATTCCGAATTCAGTCCCGAGTATTGACATTAATCCCGAATATAGTCCCGAAAAATCTTAGTTAAGTTTAGTCATTTTGTGCAATATAATTATACCTTATAAATCATTGAAATTAATCGTGAATTCAGTCCCGAAAAAAATTTAACTAACCCCGTATATATGCATATATGTAGCACTAAAAATTTTAATGGTTTTTAATTAACTTGTTGGATAATTGAATTTATATAATATAAGTGTATATAACGACTGTATTACGAATTCTTTTAAAACTATAGCAACTACTTTTCCAAAGAAAATCATTAAACATTTTTATGCATTCATAGAAAGAATTAAAAATTCTCTTTGCTTTATTTAATTCATTCTTCTCATTTCAGTTATTCATATTTAAGAGCACGCAAAAAGTTAATTTCTCCCGACTTATTTTCGCAATAAAGATTAAAGTTTTCCGATTGATTCACCATTCTATTTGATGTGACGTACAGACAGCGCCCGAAGCAGACAATGAGAAGTGCAAAAATCAACGCTGTGCGTCCGCACACAACACTCCGCCTCTCACGCACAGGAGCGCTTGCGTCCGCACGTCTCCTGCTCCCCCCGCGAAGTGTGACACAATTAAATGTTGGAAATTTAAGCATTAAACGCTGACGAAACGTGACTATAACGTAAATTTAATTTCGTAGTAAATTGAGATGAGTTTAAACTTTGTCAGCCGAATGTCGTGCTGCACGCTTGTGGCAACACCCTGCGACTTTTTCTGCAACTTCCACGACGCCTGCAAGCGCGTTTACACTTGCCAATAATAAGAGAGAGAGTAAAGAAGAGCAAGAGGTTACATTACATGCTGCGTGTACGTTGGAATCGCAGCGTTGCTCAATTTCGTGAAACGTGACAACCTTTTACTGGGCCAAAAGTAACGACAACAATAACATGCAGTATTTTTCTTTATTGTTGTGCGGCGTTAAGTAAAGAGAGAGCGCGTAAGCAACGCTGCTTTAAGGCAAAGAAAATGCGCAGGCGAAAGTTGACAGTTGCCTGACAGTTGACGGTGAAAGTTAAGCTGCGGCAGCTGCCACAATTGACAACTCAGCTGACGCTGATGCTCTCTACCGTTACTGCTGCTGCTGTCGTTGCGGTGGTTGCGGTTGTGGCGGAAATATGAGGAGGCATTGGCGCGGTTGCAATCTTTGCTGCTGTCATCTGCCTATTTAATTTATTTAAAGTGAGCGTCGAGTAAAGTTAAAAACAATAAAGAAATATTAAAATGCGTTTTGTAAAAATTCAAAGTTCAAAGTTCAAAAGTAATAATTATATAAATATTTAATTAATTCATATTTTAATATTTCGAATTATATTACAGTGTGCCAATAATAAGTATCTCTATATAAAATTTAATTATTATTAATTAAAATAAAATTTAAAATGTATGAAAAAGTTGTGTGTGGTATGTATAATAATAATGCACGAAAGGTAATATTCGAAAATTTAATTTTCGCAAATAAAATTATTGAAATCTGAAAATAATATGTAAAATGTGTCTTATTTACTTGGAGGTTAAGATTCCAAATTGTATTGAAGTATTTATAAAAAAAATCTAATAAAAATATAATTTAAGCTATAACGCCCTGTTAGCGTTGACCTTTTAACATAATCTAACCTTTAAAGCCCTCATAAAGTTAGCTTATGATACCACTAGCGGGCCTAAAACCTTAAAACACTAATAAAGTGAGGTTAGGTTTGTTTGCAGAGGCTTATAAACGCTTTTCTGGGTGCAAGTTTTTTAGCCGTGAAAGAAATACACCCTATAATCTCATCGACTGCAGCTGAGCGGTTTTTAAGATACATATGTTTAGCCAGGCTTATCATAATTTCGCGCGTGCTTTGAGTTTTCACTTTTAAGTGAAGAGTTCAAAAAATGTAAATACTCCAAACTTATAGCGGATTCTTATGGAAAATTGCCCGTGGCACTAAAATTCACACGAAGGATTTGAGTTTCTAGTTAGTTAATTAAAATTTCTAACTGCAATATCGCTACAACGTAGTTTCAAACTCAAGATAGATTTTTAACTTGTCTAGGTGTTTCGTGACTTCGAAGTAGGCTCTTTTGACAAGAGTTCAACAAAAATAGTACTAAAAGATTTAAGTCCCAGCTTTTTACCTTAATTTCAAATCCTAGAACCAATCGGAGTGACAGCTAACTCGGGTAGGCAGTTCGTAATACCGGCTCTACTTCGTTTTCATAATCACTTTTAAACTTGACTAGGACTTGTATGCTTCTGAAGTAGGCGAAAGTACAAGGCTCTGCATTCTCGTTTAACTGGGCCTCGTATCCAAGAGTCACATAGAATAATAACGAAAATTGTATAGACAGTACGTAATTTTGTATTAAACTTATTTACAGAATCACTGTAAAGTGAATATTTTGCTAATCTTGCGTAGTAGATAAAAATATTGTCGAAAACCATTTTTGAGGTACGATTAAAAATCTACATCATCAGCAACTTCCATACTTAAAATTTTATTTTATGAGGGCCTCATTATAGAGGGAAGTGAAACTGTCAGGTTTTAAATTTCGATCAAGTTAAAATGTTATATAACTTAAAGTTTGTTTACACCTGGACCTTTAATGGATATGTTAAGGTTCGTAAAAAAACCCTAAAAAAAGGAATGGAGATTCTAGTATATCTGCAAAGTCACATACCTCTTTTTTTGTACTATTTTATCCATAGCAAATTCAATCGCTTAAAGGATAATAGACTTTTTATCTACAAACATATACTGACTTTTCTCCTTTGCCGAATAGTTAAGCTCAATCTTAGTTAAACTATCTTCGAATTTCCGCTTTATGCTTTACTTTGTACAAGAGTTTGTCCTCGATGTGCTGTAGAAAACAACCATTTAATAAAAATTGTGTAGAGGCTTAGTGATTCTAAAAATCAGCTTTTTCATTTACTTGTTCCTCGTTAACATTAACTTATATAACTTTTGCTCTTGAGTCTTAATCCTTATTGTTGACATGTAGTCTTAAAGACCTTAGTATCTACAATATTAATACTTAAGTTACTTATCTATTTTAGTGCAGTTAGTTGGCATCATTAATCCTTACGACTCATAAATATTATGATTTTCTTCACCCACAAGGAAATTTGGACGCAAGTGAGGCAAATAATTACGTCTAATATACGCCGTCTTCTTTTATTCTTCATTTTCTACTTTAAATCACCTAACTGAAGCGCATTTGCTTTGTCATTTACATTGCTGCATTCAGTACTTCTTACCACCTAACTGCTTTAGTAGTACGCTTACGCTACGCGGTAGCTTAAAATTCTCTGTGTTGCCTGCGAATATTTTGGTTGCATTCCATTCTGTTGTTCATTTGCTCGTTTGCCTAGTATATCCGTCTGTCCATTGTTCGGCGCAAAGTTCAGTTGTTTGTTTGTCGTTAATGCTAATTGCATTACTAACTTGAACTTTGAAATACCACAACAATTACTTATGTAAATCCTTTTGGTGGCAGTTGCCAAGAACAATAATGCTGTAAGTTGGTAGGTTTTGCGGCTAGCGGCAACTATTGTTTGTTTTCGTGAGTGTAGTTACATATTGTGGCATTTTTAGTGGTACCTAAGTCTCCGCAGGGAGCGTGAGTTTAAAATATATTTATATTTATGAGTAGTAGGGGGCAGAAGCAGAGAGAGAGAGATGGAGAAAGAAAGACAGTCTGCACAATAGACCCTAGATCGCGGTGCATACCTCATTTTCAATCTATCAAGACATTCTGATAGTTAGATAAACGAAGTAAGGAAGAGAGAGGAAGCGATAGTAAGAAAAGTGAAAGAGAAGCATGTACTGATGAGAGATAGAGAAGATAGCATAAGATTTAGATAAAGAAAGTGAAAGAGAAAGGGAACGATAGTGAGAGAAAGAATGACAAGGTAGAAATCTATACACCGATACAAGGAATTGGTTATTGTTGCTTCTATTATAGCTCCTTAAAACTACTGGTATTTCCTCTTTAAAGTAGGGGTTACATGCTGAACTTATGATTTTCTGGGTTTCTCGCGAAAACACGGTTTTCAGTTAAATAAATACTACCGAGCACAAAACCGGTTAAAACTACCAACTTCGAATTTTTCAAGAATAAAAGCGAGATATTACCAGGAATGCATTATAATTTGGCGATTTTTGAATTGAATTACTGCCACGCAATATTTGAAAATTTAAAACAATTAGAGAACAGTAGTGTTCTTGGCCTTCCAGGTATCCTAGGTAGAAAAAAACCTCTTTCGAAATTCGTCAGAAATACGAGCAAGATATGAAAAATAATTCGGTTTTAAGACATCGTGTTATAGTAACATATAGAATAACAAGATGGTCAGGAGAACATAGATTCAATTTTTGCTACCTTTGTTAGCGTTATAGATCTTGAACACCGCATAGAAGAAACGGAGTTTATTTGAATATCTTTTATATATCGCTTCAAAAAATTTTGGTTCAAGGTTTGGATCTTAAGATCTGTTTTTCCACAAAACAAAAAACAAAAAAGAACCAGACCAAACCAAATGTTTTCTTAGAGTATATTTTCATTCTTTCTCGTAAGTAAATTATAAATTAGTAACGAAAGTATGCTGCGAGGAATAGACTATGCCTTTCTACTTTAAATAAAGTAAGGAAATCGAAAATTTCTCAAGCTGTATCTGGAAAAATCTGGACCAAACTCTCTCAGATAACAGCCAAAAAGTCTAGGCGAGGAATATATAGCAAAATAACAAAATAAATAACACCAGAAAAAAGATCTTTGGAGTTTTTCAGAAGGAATATCTCTTCCGTTTACCATTACTCATAATAAATAGTTTTGGAGGTACTCTTTAACAGCCCCAACCATATTAAATAATCTAAATTTCTGTGATCGTTAGCGACTATCTTCACTTGCCAATAGCGCTTCGGGTTCATAACACGTTCTGCATTGTGTTTGAAATATAACTCTGATTGAGAAGTCCTCAAAGGTTTCCTGCAAACCATCTGCTGTTTGCCTTCGTTTACCCATAAAACTTTCGTAATTTATTTGCAATTATTTTTATTATTTTCATGCAAACACATACGCCATTACATACATATGTATGTGTGTATAGAATGAGATTCTTTCCATACGCACGTATAGTTTTCTTTTGAGTTGACATTTGAAGAAAATTTATTTGCGGTTGGTGAGGATTTATGTTTGCGTGGCAGTTGGCAAATGCTTAAGTGCTTGCGAATGTAGTGCATTTGGCAAGACGTAAAGCATTGAAAGAGAGCGGAAAATTCAAGCATAACTTTTCAAGTGTTATTTGTTTTACTTTTGATGGCACGGAGTCACACGAAATTTAGAATATTTGATGAGCTCGGAAATGCAAGACATAAATTTTAAATTGTATGGATATTTATAGATGTAAGCTAAAGCACACAAAGGGGGATTTGTTGGGAAATTTTATAGTAATAAATATAATAAAGTTATTTAAGAAACACTCAAGAAAACCAAAACAGAAACTTTAAAAAGTTATGAAAAGCTGAAATATTTTGACTTTTACTTTATGATATTAAATAATACTTGGTTACATGATATAACAAATTTATACCATTTCACACAAATACGAATAAAAAGCTTACGCAAAAGCTTTAAATTTGCTAAGAAACATTTGTCGCAGCTTTCATTAGAGTTCTGAAATGTTATCTAATATTGGACATCTGGCACCTTTAATTTTTTTTTAACTTGCAAAACAATAGGAGCTTTCACTGGCATCAAAACTAAAACTCTTTAATGAATATATTTCATCTCTCGGAAGTTATTTTCTTAGAAAAAATATATTTGCTGCAGTTAAAATCAAACTAGAGCTTTTGCTTTGCAGTCAAAAGCTTCAACTATGACTTCTAATAAATATATTTTATATCACGGAAGTTCGCAAATGTTATATTATATAATATTAGACATTCGACAACCTTCACTTGATTTTAACTAAGATTATATTAGAGCTTTCACTGTGGCGTCAAAAGCTTTTACTTAAGCTTTTAATAAAAAGATTTAATCTCTTGAATGCTCACAGATGTTATCTAAAATTAGACATTTGAAAACCTACACTTGCGTTTTATGCAAATCATATAAGAGCGTTCACTGTGGCTACTAAATCTTTTGCTTTAGCTACCTAATGATTCAATTTTAACTCTCGGAAGACCACAAATGCTATGTAAAATTAGATAATCGATTACCTAAATTTGTTTTTAATTTAAATGAAATAAGCGCTTTCACTGTGGCATTAAATGGGTTTGCTTTAACAAAGTAATTTAGAGATTTCATATCTATTTCGTCTTGTCAAAGCATTAGCCGTTATAAGGACGTGAATGTACAATAGTTAGAAAACGTTAGGAGCTTTCATAACAGAGTCATAAACTTCAATGCCGCTATGTTAGAAAAGTTTGTTGTAGCTAAAAAGCTTAAAAAGACTTCTTGTGGTTTCCCCGATTTTAGTAGAAAAAAAATTAAGCTCTTGATTAATGTAAATCATTCAAAAAGGTTTCTTGCCGTAGAAGCGAGCTTGGTATAATATAATAAGAAGACTTTTGAGAGAAGATTTGGGTAGTTACATTATTATGCACAACTACCATATAGATAATGATCATTAGATCATTCCTTGCGAGTGCTTTATAATCTCATCCAAAGCTATTTAAATTGAGCTTAATATTAATAAAATTACCTTGGTATACTCTGAGTTGTAGTATAGCGTCGCTTACATTTTTTCCTCAAAAAGTTAAAAAGTTTTTCCAATGCGCTTAGACACATGTAATGAACTAATTTGCATAATTTTTGCTTAAATGAATTTGTAATTATATCCTTTTTAGGGCACACCTGTTGCGCGAACAAGTGGCTAATTACCTTTAATAAATTTATTTTATTAAATAATAATTATATAGGTACGCGACAGTTAAGTCATGCCTTCGCAGAAGTTTTCTTATAAATTTCAGAGTGAAGTAAACGCTTAGCAAAATTTCTACAAATGAACGAAGAAGTAAAAGCTCAACTAAAGTTCTGTGTGTGGGTGCGGTGGGTGGTGAGTATAAGCCAAGAGGAAAGTGGTAAGTTAACCTGACAGCTGTCGCTTATGCCAGCTAATTAGCTTTGTGGCCACCGCAAACATCAGCAGCACCTGGCGGCGCTATCACAGTTAAGCCGCGACGAAATTTCGTGTTGAACTGATTAAATTTGAATTTAATTGGCACAGAAATTGGCGGAAATTGTTAAATGACAGCAATAAAGGAATTGAAAGTGATAAATTCCATAAAGATTGGAAGACAGTCTAAATTATTTCAATTTTCATTAAGGACAGATATAAGGGCTATGATATTTAAATAATAAAATGTAAAAAAAATAAAACAGAACTGAATATATTAAAATAACTCTAAGGTAAGCTTTCATAATGCTCAGGGCTTTGAAAGAGTTTCTGTTGAAACGTGTGTGATGACGTTGTATTGTGTTTGGTAAAAATCGGATCATATAAGCAAAAGCTTAGGACTCATACACATATTTACATGTAAGCAGCAAAGTGAGCTTTTGAAATGTCGAAAGCTCCAACTGTAAATAATCACCAATTTAAATGCTTCATTAATTATTACTACTAGTATTATGAACTATGTTCAGCATATCAATGCAAATTTTTTTAAAAAGCAACCCTCAGAGCTTTCGAAAAGTAGTTTTATTATTATTATTAGAATAAAGTAGGTTTTATAAAAAAAAAAATATTTTTTATTGAACAATTTAAGGGGGTTTAACCATCTTTCAAAATTTTGAAAGCTCTCATCGTAAACAGTTAACTTTTTTTTTATAAATTTCAGCAAATAGTTTTATGTTTCTTATTATTATTAGAATGAAATAGGTTGTATACAAAAAAAAAAACAATATTTATTGAACAATTTATGTCGATTTAATAAGTTTTCAAAACTTTGAAAGCTCTCATCGTAAGCAGCAAACTTTTATACTTACTTATAAACTTTCATAAATTTCACCAAGTAACCATTATTATAAGATATTTCATAATCAAGTAAATTATTGTTAATAGAAGCTTTTTGAACCCAGATAACAACCAAAGGTTTTTGATAAACATTCACTGTAATTTGAAGAAAAAGTGTGCGGAAAAATTAGAACTATAAAAATATTGCAGTAAAAGGCAAAGAGCTTAGGTAAAGAGCTTAGAGGTCTTCAGAGCTTTTAAAGCTTTTCTACTCAAAGTTTTGGATGCTTTGTGTATATTAGACTCTAGATAGAGATATAGATAAGAATTTGGTCGTAGATGCACGAGCTTATTTAAGTTCAGTAGCATTCTCAATGAAAAGTTATTGAAAACCTAAAGGAATCAGGGCGATAGAGAAAGTGATTCACTCAAGCTATAAAACTTCGAGGAAAAAGGACCAATCCTGTCGATTAGTAAAATTAAATATAAATAGATTTCTCGTGTTTTACTTTTTCGTATATTTTGTTATATAATTAAGTAATAAATCTTTCCAAATATTATTATAAATTCACACAACCCTCATTCTATTATACCATACAGCGGCCAGTTGTAGTTGTCACAACGCATTTGTAAGCAGTGCTCGTAAATCTCCATATTTTCACCGTCCAGTTGAAGAATCTCAAAGCCGCGCCCACAATCGAGCGCCTTGTGCAACTGAAATTTAGTGCGTTGTGTAAAATTGGCCTTGCATTGGACACAGGTGTGCACATGATCCTCCTCATCGGTGTGTAGAAAGCGGGATATGTTCGAGATCTTCAAAAGTTGTTGTTGAACGCCATCGACACTCTGCAACAGTATATAATGAGCGCCACAGCCTATGCGATCCCATGCTTGTTGCGCGCTTTGCACTTCACCATCACATGCAGTGCTCGGACATTTACCGAGCTGATAGGGTACCACATACAACTCTTGCGTGCGCGCGCAATTGCGGAAGCAATACAGATTCGAATCAGCAGCAACCGCCGCGCTCACCGGCTGTGCGCTTGGTGCGGCGGTGGCGTGCTTCACACGATACTGCAGCGGCAGTATGCATTTCAAGGGTGCATTTGATGCTGACGCCATGATACGCAATTCGCGACGTACATAAATTTTTATGCGCTTCACGCTATACTCGGCAGCGCGTGTCGGATAACGAGCGAACATATAGGCTTCGATTTTTTCCAGCAGCATGAGAAATAGCACATCCACAGTCTCGCTAATATCCAGGTGATGTTCAAGCGCCGATTCGCTGCTGCAGAAAAGTAAATCCGTTTCGTTCAAGGCGCGCATATAGAAACTCAAACGAAAGTGTAGACACACGGCGTTATGAAAAAGTAAACGCAACAATTGCGGTATAGCTTGTATGCCGGCGTCCAGCAAGAATTCATTAGTGCTCCTGTTATGCTCGCTACATAGTATGAAATTCTTTATGCGCTGCTTCTCTATTGTTTTTAACAGCGCGCGTTGTTCGACGCTGCAAAGCGTACGCCCTACACTGGACCAATGTTTCGAATATGCAGCGCGTACATCACATGTTGTGCTGCATGCGTCACACTCGTACACACGCCCGGCCATGCACCAGCGATGATGGAAGGTACGCCTACTGCCCTCAATGCTAAAGGTGTAGCTAGAGCGGAAGTAGGGCATGGCAAGTAGGCGGCGTAGTGTACGATGATGTATGGGTTGTGTTAGAACGCAGACTGTTGATTGTATTTTAATTGAATATGAACTGAGTAGAGTGCTGTCGTGCGTGTGCTTTTATACTTGCGCGTTACGAAGTGAATAAAGTGATATGTAGTGAGCGACAGGTAGCAGGGATGCAGGTAAAGGACGGTAAACAAGCGCTGTTTACGTAAAAAGTAGGTAATCTCTTCATAAAATGCCAAAAGATTTGTCAAGAATTCTTTTGTATAGCTTTTAGTACGTTCACGGTGGAAGGGTGGATTAGTTAAATATGTATCTTTTGCCATAATCGCAATTTTCGGAACAATAAAAATCAATATAATATAATAATAATAATATCGTTACTTTTCTCTTTTCAATACATGAAAGGTATAATATCGTTCAGTTTGATTTTCTTTATATATGAAAATTTCATTCGAGCTTTCACTAAAAGAAAAGAGCTTCCTTGTATTTCATTATTACATCGGTAAGTTGCTCTTATTAATTTCGGAAGGTGTGTTGATAACTTGTCTAGGGTTTGGTATAACCTATGCGCTTTTAAAATTCAGTAAAGCTTTCACTAACTTTGCTGAGCTACTTTCCGAGAACTTTAACTCACTTCAAAGAACTTTCATTAACTTAAAAGAGCTTTTACTCAACATAGTAGTTTTAAAACATATAATAAGTAAATAAACTGTATTTCTTAGACCCACAGTACTTGCTATTTGCTTAAGCGGTTATACACGGTTGTGAATTTTAAAAAAATCAATTTTTTGGTTTACGTATATATTGAATGTATATATATTTGAGCATATTCTTCGAAACTTTGAAGTGGTTCCGGCAAAAAGTTTCGGAGATATGAGTATATTTGTTAGAATCTTGGTGTAAGCGGCTTTCAAAACTTAAAACGCGTTTTTCTCGAAAAACTGTCTTTAGAGTCGGTGAGGAAAATTGCTTCGAAACGACTGGACTGATTGAGATGAAATTTGATACTAGCTGCTTGATATATTCAGTCAGGTAGTGATTGAAGTATAAGATTTTTGACAATAATTGTTTAAGCTACTCTGAAGTGTAAATTCTTTCGACGACGAAATGACTTTTTATGGAAGCCGCTATTTTGTCAGTATACGAATTTTTTTGCCTAGTCCTTCGGTCATTATCTACATTTCTTTATAGTAATAATAATTATTTTTTTTTAAATTTGAGCAAAAAAATCTTCTGACATCTTTTTTTTGGAAGAACGCCTGGAGTAACGCTACCGAATTAAGGGAGACCAAAAGTTTTCAAAATGAATCAGTGATTATTAAAGTGCAATAAATTCTGTAAATGTACATTATTTTTATTTAATATAATTATAATAAATAAAACGTCTTGTCAAACCAAACACCAAGCACCCGCAAATAGATAAAGTGATTATTACACTGCGCTTAAATATGATGTTTATGGCATTTTAATTGCAAATTGCAATCAGCCGCCTAAAGCTATAAAGGGCTAAAAGCGCAGAAGATAACAATATGACAGACTAGAAAGGCAGCATAGACGGAAAATATATTATACTTGTATGTATATCTGTGTGGGTATTATTGGGTATTATATATATAGTTATGTATGTGCTGCTGTTGTTATGCAAGACTTAATTTAAAAAATTTAATTAATGTAACGTGTGTATTCTGAAACTTTTATGCTTTTCATGAGCTTTCATTTAATATATTTTCATTAAGTATTTAATTTAATATTTGTTCAATGATTTGGCTTTGATCAATAGGCAAAAATATAAATTGATAGTGATGCAGCACTTAGCAGGCTCTAATGTAATTGATTAATACTCTTATGCTGTGCAATTTTAATCAAAATTTAATGCAACTATTGTAGGGCTGACAAAAAAAAATATAACTGTATTCGAACTAATGCTTTAGAATGTGACAAAATCAGGCTTTAGTAAATGAAATGCATTAAAGAGAACATTTTATAGTTAGATAATACAGATTTTAGCTAAATGAGAATCAGAGCAAAAAACAGCAAATTTTACATATTTACATACCATATATTTTCTAAATGCATATATAGCCATACATACATACCTGCATATTTTTCATGGTTCACCTTCAATTCAGCACCATGCATGTATTTATTTGTCAACAAAAACTAGTTTATTTATTTGTATATTGTATGTGGTAATCCACACACGCGCACACATACAATCGCATGAAAAGTTATTTGCATTTGTATTTGTATATTTTCTACACTCATTTAGTTGTCAATCTGAGTGATATGAGCATCTAGTAATTTATACAAATACACTAAAGCAATTTATTTAAATAGCATGAAAGCACTTAAGAAAATGCAATCATACAACAATACAAAATATCACTAAATACACACACCAATACATACGTAACTACATACAAATGCATATAAATCGTGTAAATATAGTTGCATATATGGCGAAATGCAAAGTAAATTCTAACAATGAGCTGGTCAACTGTTGGATGCACAAATATTACAGTGGTGGGTTTAGTTATTAGCATCTGTTATTTATAAATTATACAAGAAGAAGAAGAAAACGTTAACTTTGACTGTACCGAAGCTTTAATACCCTCCACAGGTGCACCACAGCATGAAATGGTAAAAATATATCTTTAACTTCATTTTGATTCGACAGCTTGTATGGCAGCTATATGCTATAGTAGTCTGATCTTAACAATATGTTCGGAGATTGTAGCGTTCCCTTGGACAATAATCTGTGCCAAATTTCGTGAAGATATCTTGTTCAATATAAAAGTTTTCCATACAAGAACTTGATTTTGAAAGATCAGTTTGGCAGCTATTTGCTATAGTAGTACGATCTAGTCAATATGTTCGGAGATTGAAGCGTTGTCTTTGACAATATCCTGTGCGAATTTTTGTGAAGATATCTAATCAAATAAAAATATTTTCCATAAAAGTATTTGATGTTGATCGAACATTTTGTACGGCAGCTATATAATCTAAAGATCCGATATCGTCGATTACGACAAATGAGCAGCTTCTAGGAGAGAGAAAGACGCGTGCAAACTCTCAGATTGATGTCTCAAAAGTTAAGAGATACATTTGCGCATATATAGACAGAGCGGCGGACAGACAAACATACATAAGTTGACTCAACTAGTCACACTAATCATTTATATGTGGTATATATTTTGTAGGGTCTCCGATGTTTCACTCTGGGTGTTACAAATTTCGTGCGAACGCTGTTCAGGGTATAAAAATGGAAATTAAATGTGTAGAAGATTTAATTAAAAGCGAGAAGAAGAGGTTGTATACTATGCATGTGTATGTGATTGTTAACATAGCCGTTAGTTTCCTTCATTCTTTCTGTAATCGTTTCGCAAATCTCACTATTATAGAAAACCAAAAACGATTTCTTTTAGTACACGCCTATGCGCCATTTGATTCGGCATACATAACACTTAAGATATAAGATTGCACATCTAACTATTAGAAGTCTATGCGATCTATATAATTTGGTTTTTTGAAATCCGAAAGATTTTCTGAATATTTTCTTACTTAATATTACGAAGATGAGATGATAATATGAAGTGAACAAAAAGATTTTTAATGGAAATTAAACTCTTTATTTAAAATTTTGGAGCTCTTAAATATTATTTTTCGAGCAACCTTCCGAGCCTATTTGAGTAGAACATTATGAATTTTTCGTTTTACGATAAACCAGATATGGTGCACCGAGCACCGCTTTCAGAAAAAGTCAGTACCCAACAGAGCCCAGATCACACAAAAGAGAAGGTGTAGGAAAATAGAAATCTGTTAAACTCACATCCAGTAGAATAAATCTATATAGCTCCTTATAGCGACTTAATTTCCATACCTTTCAATTTTTATGCACGCCACTGTTCACTTTCAAATGTTTATGTACAAATATTCTATAAACATGGTGATCTCTGTGTAGCGAACAGTAAGTATACATATACACAAGTTTTCAAGCGCATCAAATGTACAGTTAATCCAAATGGTTTTAAGAGCATTTGTAATCTCAAAATGCAAAACAAAAATATACATACACAGATAAGCGAGTTTGAAATACAACAAAATTTCTAAATACTATTTGCTTGGACTGAATATTTTAATGTTATTAAAGCGCTATATAATAACTGTTTCGAGAAAAAAGTTGAACCAAAATTTTAAATTTAGTTTGCATTAGATTTAGTTCGGTAATTTTTTGAAAAGAGCCCACTAGAGCTTCAACGAGCGGAAGCGTGCATAAGGTTAGTTAAAGAGCGCTACGCGCGTAATGAATGTTCGGTGAAAAGAAGAAAAATGCCAGCTCCGAGGTAACTCTTAACACTGAAAACGAGGCAACTGTGTAGCGGACTAATTTTGTAAAAAGGAGTTAATTTTTTCTGGAAAATTATTTGAAACTTTTTACTGCTAAATCAATGCCAAAGCAGTGTTCGTTAAGACAAAACTGTGTTTGGTTATATTTTGAGATTCACTTTCCGTAGCACTAAATTTTCATAGTCCTAATTCAAGCTTTTTATATCCGCAAATATTTTTTCTTCAAAATACGTTGAAATTATTATTTCTATAAAAATTTTTTTAAAGGGCATTATTACAATTTTTATAATTTTTCAAAAAATAACAAAAATTCGTTTAGTTTTTTTATATTTAAATTTTTTTTTTTAAATTATTTCGTTTCTGAAAATTAATAATTTTTAAATTTTATTAGTTGTATATATTTTATTTTAAAGAGCGCTACATTTTTATAATTTTCTAAAATTACAACAAAAATTTGTTTAATTTCAAACAATTTGAATTGAAATTGTTGATTTTTTTTTTTAATCACACCGTTTGAAATTAAAAACAATAATTAAAATTTTAATAAACTTAAAAAAAAATTTAATTGCTATATTTATTTAAAATATTTATAGTTATTTTGAATTTGAATTATATTAATTTTTGGAATTGTGAAAAAATTTAATATTTATATTTTCACTCTCAAACATTTTTAGTATTTGCAAATTGTTGTTAAAAAAATTTATTATTTTTAAAATGTTTATAAACACTACATTTTAAAATTTTTTAAAAATATTCTTCATTAATTTTTCAAAAAATTAATTTAATATTAATTGTTATATTTATTTAAAATATTTATAGTTATTTTAAATTTGAGTTATACAAGTATTAATTTTTAAAGTTGTGAAAAAAATTGAGTACTTTGTATATTTTTACCCTTAAACATTTTTAATATTTGCAAATTTTCGTTAAAATTTAAAATTTTTTACAAAACTTATTAAAATTTTTATAATCACATTTAAAAATTTTTAAAAAATAATTTTAATTATATTTTTAAAAAATTAATTTAAATTTGAAAAATATTAATGTTTAAACATTTTTTTTTATTTATTTTAAAAATTTATAGTCATTTTGAATTTTAAAAGCAATAATCTTTGATAATATATTTTTTTTAATATTATATTACTATTTAAGAAAATGTATAAAGTTTTATTCTCAAAGAATTTTCTAAAAATTATTATTTTTTTTTAATTTTTAATATAAACTAAATTTTTATTATTTTTAAGATTGTAGAAAAATGTGCATATACACAGTAATTTAAATTAGCATTTTCAAAAATCCAAAATTTTTGTAATAATTTTTTTAAATTAAATAGTTTAAAATTTTTAACGAAAAACTATTTTGTTGAATACGTTTTCAAAATATTTTAAATTGTTTCAAATTCTTTAATTTTTTTATAATTTTTAAAATTCTAACATTATTTAATACATATTTTGTAAAATGAAAGCATTCAATTAAAAAAATATATAATGTTTCATTTTCCAAAATTTAAAATTTTTGTAATTTTTTTATAATTATTTTTGGAAACTTAAGATTTCGTTTATATTTTAAGTTTTGCATATCAATTCTGATCAGACAGTGGCTTATCGCGCTGATAAGTCATAAAATTGAAAAGCATTTTCAACGTTTTTGGTCCTCGTTTTTATAAGTCAGAAGCACACTCAACCGCACATATTTTCGAATATACATATATACATACAAATATGCATGTACACTTCGACAACCAATCATTCGCTCTATTCCATTACCCGCCTACTCAACATACTCTCGACTTTGCCGCCAATATTGAAATCAAAAATATTTGATAAGGAGCCCAACAATTGTGCACGTCTGTCAACTGTCAGTTGCACCCAATCACTAATATGCCCATACTGCAAGCGGCCCGAACACCCATTGGGTGTGCATACGCACAGTCAGTCGGTGCGTAAGGCGGTCGGCCGGTCGCTCGATTCTTTGGCTGTTTCGTATTGTATTATTGCATGCTTTTTGT